TGAGTTATTTACAGAAAGTGTGTGAGAGAGTTTGCTACAAGAATGTCAACATCAGAAGGCTTAAAAAATCTTAATTTAAGTGGCAAAAAAAACCTCTTTAAAAATGTAGGGGAAAAAAAAATCTTAAAAAATGTAAGGGAAGCATTTCAAATGTTCTCCTTGGGGCTGCCCTCAAGCCAGGATTAAATTTGGGATGTTTGGGATCATTCAGTTTGAGCAAACCCCACATTAACTGAGCACACAGGGCACTCTCTTCCCCCATTTCATAGCTGAGCTGTGAAAGGTAAAAAATCCCCAAATCTTCCCAGTCTGGATCCCAGGAAATCCCTTCCCTGCAGGGGATGAGGGCCAGGAGAGGCTCTGCAGGAAAAGCTTGTGGAAGGTTGTGCTCCTGTGTCTGCAGCCTGTCCTCGTTTGGGGCCTGCAGCTTTTAATTAACAAAGCTTCTTTGGTTTTCAATTAAGGACTCGCTTACAACAAAATCCGTATTTTCTTCCCCTTTCTTTTCCGCCTTGTTTGCTCCCCCCTGTAGCTTCTGCTGAGCTTTGATCTCAGTGCAGGTTTAATTAGCTGTAATTAGTGGTTTCACCGCATTAACCGAAAATCAGAGGATTAAAAACCGAGGCCCACCTCCCTCCTCCTGCTGCCCATGGGGGATTTTGGGGGATCTGAGGGTCCCTGTGTGGCCCTTGCCCGGTGCATCCCAAAGCTCCACCTTTTTATGGGATCATTAAAATTCCATGGGATCATTAAAACTCCCTCATCCATGGATTTCATTCTCAGTGAAATCTGCCAGGAGTTTTTAGGAGGGCCCCAATCTGTGCCTTCCCAGCATTTTCTGGAGCATTTTTTGGGGTGTCTCCCTGCTTTCAGGGAGGTGTCCTGAACTCAGACCTTCTATTAAATTTTTCCAAAAAATTCCGTTTGGAATCATGGAATTGCTTAGGTTGGAAAAGCCCTCCAAGATCACTGAGTCCAGCACAGCCCAGGCCACCACTGCCCCATTGTCCCCAAGTGCCACATCCACATGGATGTTAAATCCCTGAGGGATGGGGACTCCATCACTGCCCTGGGCAGC